GAGGAAGGTGCAAAGTGGCTTCAGGAGCATTTGGACAGGCTTAGTGAATGGGCAAGAACATGGTTAATGGAATATTAATGTGGAAATATATGAGGCTATCCATTGTGGTAGGGGAAACAGATATATAGAGTATTTCTTAAATGGTGAGAGGTTGGGAAGTGTAGATGTACAAAAGGACCTAGGTGTCCTTGTTAATATATCACTGAATGCTATTATGCAGGCATAGCAAGCTAATAAAAGACTAACAGAGCATTAGCCTTGATTGCAAGAGGATTTGAATACAATGGTAGTGAAGTTTTGTTTCAATTGTAGAGGAGATGGTTAGACTGCACTTGTACCTCTATATCTCAGGGAAGCTATTATTGCCATACAGGGTGCGCATTGAACGTTCACCCGACTTGTTCCTGGGATGGTGGGATTTTGGGCAAACTGGGCCTGTATTCTCCAAAGTTCCAAAGAATGAGAGATGATCTCATTGAAATATATAAACAAATAGACATTGTAGAAGCAGATAAGATGTTTCCCCTGCTGGGAAGTCTAGAACAATGTATCTCGATTTAAAAATAAAGGTGAGTAATCTTTTACTCTGAAGGTTGGAATTCTCTGCCTCAGAGGGCTGAGGAAGCTCAGCCTTTGCATATGTTTAATGTAGAGATTGATAGATTTCTGATTACCAATGGTGTAAAGGGTAATGGGTTTGGAATGGTTAAAATGGCATTGAGCTGTGTGATCTGCAACGATCATATTGAATGCAGGGCAGGTTTAACGAGCTGAATGGCCTACTTCTGTTCCTTTATTCCATTCCTGTTTCTCTGCTACCGGCTTCTTGAAAAAAAAAACTGATCTCGGACAACAGAATGAAACATAAAATGGTCTGCTATTTATGCTTCTTTGAAAAGCCCAGGATTTAATGTGAAGCACAGCAGAAACACCAAAACCCATAGCATAGGCTCCCACCTTAAGTCGAAGAGTAAGGTACAGAATGAACAGTTTAATCTAATATGATGAAGATCCCCATTTGTACATCTAATTAGTGCAGAAGATGGTATCAAAATAAGGAGTCAAATATTATCACCTAAAGTAATGCTCTCTCAGTTTATTGCTCCGCAGATATTTTCATGAAAGAATGACACAATTGTTTCAGTGTTTCAGTGAAGCCTCGGCCTTCAAAATTTTTTTAATCTAGTTCCAAAGATGTGAATGTGCATTCTACACCTCTCGAGTTGTGCAATACATTTTGGTGAGTACACTTGTGCTTTAAGACTCTCTCATCATAGACAGATCATGCACTTTTAGTGCAGTCATTTCCACCCCCTCTCCACCAACACAACTGCTGGATAACATTCCATCCTTATCATTCACTATATGACACAGCCCCAGCTTCTTTGCTTGTTTGCAATAAGATTTTAGCATTAAAAAAAATAAGTAAAGCTATCCACATATTCCTGCTCATGAATAATTATGGCTGACTCCTAACTGCCCTCTGAAGTGGCTTTGCAAGACAGTTTGTACCAGACTGCTGAACTGCAGTGGTTCAATGGAGATGAGTAAAACTCTGGTGTTGATGCCCACAACCCAAGAAAGAAAAAAAAACACAGTTAAATGGTGTCTCCAAGAAAATCTTGTTTTCGGAGGCACATGGAGTTAATTGAAGCAGATGAGGTTTAATCAGTTGGCTTTAGGTGACAAACTGCTTTGGTATTTTGTATCCTCTCTCTATCAACCAAGTTTATTCTGTGGTGTCCTGGAAGTGAGATTTTCACAGCAGCCACCCATGATTTCTTTTGACTGTTGGCAGCTGATGCGAGTCCTGCAATTTTGTTCAGCAACGTAACAGGGTCTGAGTTGCAGCCATGGGCAATTGGATCTTCCTGATCTCTTCCATAAAACTGAACTTGACAGATGATCTTTTAAAGGGGGATGCCAGCCTGGTGTCATTTTTTTTTCTTTATTCTAATGCTTGAGTGCAATTCCTTATAGTTGTTAGAAAAAGAGCTCTCTACTAGCTATTTTCCTGTGTCACTACAGCCCTGCCATCACTTGTCACATAACAATGAACCATTTTGATACGAAAAGTCCCACCGTTTGAGGTTAGGAACAGTTAGAAACCCCATGGAAAGAAGCAGTAACTTCATAAACCATCTACTCTGAAGGAATAGTGACATATGTCCGTGCAACATAGAAACACAGAAAACAGGAACAGGAGCAGGCCATTTAGCCCTTCAAGCCTGCTCTGCCATTCAATATGATCATGGCTGATCATCCAACTCAGTAACCTGCTTTCACCCCACACCCTTTGATCCATTTAGCCCCAAGAGCTATGTTTAAGTCCTTCTTGAAAACATTCAATGTTTTGGCCTCAACCACTTTGTGTGGCAGAGAATTCCAAAGGTCTCAACTCTCTGGATGAAAAATGTTTCTTCTCAGCTCATTCCTAATTCACCTACCCCATTTCCTTAGACTGTGAGCCCTGGTCTGAACTCCCCAGTCATCCTTTCTGTGTTTACACTGTCTAGTTCTGTTGGAAATATATCCATTTCTATGAGGTCACTCCCCCATTCTTCTAAACTCCGGTGACTACAGTTCTAACTGATCCAATTTCACTTCATATGTTAGTCTTGCCATTCCAGGGATCAGTCTGGTAAACCTCAGGATGGTATATGCCTTGGAAGTGAATTTGGAGGTATTGGTGTTCCCAGATACCTGCTGGCCTTGACCTTTTAAAGTATTGAACTTGTGGATTTTGGCTAGGCTGTTGGAGAAACAAGAGGGAGTTTCTGAAAGACATCTTGTAAATAAAACACACAACAGTCACAGGTGAACCTGTGAACAGGTCAGTGCCAATCAAGTGTAGGGGTTTCCCTTGGAGGATTTTGAGCTTCATGCATATTGTTGTATTTTAAGGCATTCACAAACCACTTTTAAGAGGTTCTAGGTAGTCAGGAGAGAGCCATCTGCCACATAATATTTAATCTCTTATTTGCTTGCATAGCCACAGCATTTACATAGCTTGTCCAGTTAACCTTTCAGCCAATGGTGACGCATAGGATGTTGATGCTGGAGACACCACAATAACAATACCATTGAATGTCAAGAAGAGGTGTTTAAGATCTCTCTTATTGGATATATTTATTGCATGATAATAATGTGACATGAATGTTACTCGCCACTTATTAATTCAAGCTTGAATGTTGTGCAGGTTTTGTTGCATATCGTCATGGCCTACATCAAAATCTGAGATGCTGAACAATGATCCTTGGTGAACATCTCCACTATGACCTTAAGAGGGAGGGAAAGTCATCGATGAAGCAAAATGAAGATGATTGAGCCTAGGGTATTATCCTAAGGAACTCATGCAGGGATCTCCTGGAACTGATTAACCTGCATGAACCATAACATTCCTCTTTTGAGCTAGCAGAAAGCAAGCAGTCTGCAAGCTTTTCCCTGTCTCCTATTGGCTTTAACTTTGTGAGGGATCTTCAATGGAAACAATGGTTAAAGTTATTACAATCTCAGCGAGGCTGTGGGGTAGGGTTAATGTAGTCTAGTGTTCTGGAGACGTGGATTCAAATCCCAGAATGGTGGATGGTGAAATCTGAGCTCAATAATAATCTGGAATAGCAAGACTGGCCTTTTGGTGGCCATTATCAATTGGTGTGAAGGACCATCAGGTTCACTTAGGAGGGGAGGAAATCTTCCATTCCTATCTATATGACTTACATGTGACTCCAGACCCACAGCAATGCAGTTTACTTTATCTCCTCTCTGGTCATTTAGGAGTGGACAATAAATGCTGGCCTAGCCAGAAACACTCACATGCCTTCAATGAATAAAAAATAATCCTGCTTTCATGTCAAATTAGTCATCTTACCTCACCTCTTGAGTTCAAATCTTTTGCTCATGTTTGGAGCAAGGCTGTAAGAAGTGGCCATGGTGGAACTCGAACTGAGTATCATTGAGCAGTTTATTGCTGTGTAAGTATTAATTGATAGCACTGTGGACAACATCTTCCAACCTCATGATCAATATTTAAACTCATAGGGTGGTAAAGGCACCAGATTGGATTTGTCATGTTATTTTTATGTCGGCAATTTCCCACATTGTCAGGCAGATGCCAATGTTGTAGCGGATTGGTAAGTGGAGTAACAAGTTCTGGAGCATAAACCTTTAGTGCTATCGCTGAAATGTTGTCAGAGCCCATAACCAGTAACCAGTGCCTTCAGTCATTTTTTGATATCATGTGGAGTGAATCGAAGAATGGGATTTGTGATACTGGGAATATCAGGAGGAAGACTTGGTCCTTCTCGCAGTTTGCAACCATAGTGCTTTCCTGAACTCTGCTGACATGTGCCATTCAACTTGATTTCTCAATTAAAAAGACCTTTAACGTACATCTTCTTTAAAAGATCTATGATGATTTTGTTTTTCTTTTATTCTTTCATGGGATGAGGCATCACTGTCAAAGCCATCAAATTATTGCCAAATCTAATTGTCCTTGAGAAGCTGGTGATGAGCCACTTCCTTTAATTGCTGCAGTGTCTGGGGTGTGGATATACCCATAGTGCTGTCACAAAGGGCATTGCAGAATTTTGTCACCGTGAAATTAAAGGAACGGCAGTATACTTCCAAGTCAGGATTTAGGGAGCTTGCAGGTGGTGGTGCTCCCATGCTTCTGGTGCCCTTGTTTTTCTAGGTTGTTGAGACTGTGTGTTTGGAAGGTGCTGCCAAAGGAGCCTTGATGAGTTGCTGCAGTGCAACTTATAGACGATACTATTATGACCAAGGTTGGAGGGGTGAGCTGTTTCCTTTTCTAAACCCACTTTTTCACCGGTCACAAAAAATTTATATTTCACCATGTGAGATAGGTTCCTTTAGACAATAAAGTTTATATCAAAACAAACTTACAACAAAGACTTTGGATTATACATGTACATATATATATAGCCATTTAAAACACACACACCACACACACACACACACACACACACACACCATGTTACCTGATTCTGAAGTTATGCCCAAGCTGCAGATGCTGGAGTATTTTGAATTTGGTTGAATTGACTTTGCTTCTGATAGTGGGTAAATTCCAAGAAAATCTTCTTCAGAAACTTTACCCAGGTGGTAGAGCTGACTTTCAGTTGGCCATCAAAGAGATTTTCGAAGAAAGAGATAAAGAGGCAATGGGTTGCTGCTTCTCAGGCAATTCTTGGATTCTTTCTGACTAAGTTAAAAAATGAAATTGCCTGATTAAAACCACAAACTGGGTCCTGTAATCTCTTTCTGAAAGTGAATCCAGGTGGTGTGAGCTTGTTTCTCCATGTAGGTGCAACATTATGTTTTAAATGCTTTTCCTTAACTATGTGTTTGTTGTTCAAAAGTTCTAACTATATTTGAAAGGGTCTATATAATCTTATATAAATGGATATTTACATGACATCTCTTTGTAACAATAAACATATTACCTTTTGTGCTGGTGGTGGAAGACGTGAATGTTGACGATACTGGATGGGGTGCCATTCAAATGGGCTGCTTTGTCCTGGCGTTTCCTGTGTGTTGTCAGAGCTGCACTCATCCAGGCAAATGGATTCTCGGGTGCTAAACAAATGATCAAAAAAGTATGATTGCCTGAAGAAATTAAAACATTGCAACAATAATCCAAGCAGGTTTTGGTTTCATAATTTACAGAACAGATGGAAGTAATGGCTGATCTCTTGCACTTGAAATTCAGTTAATTTTATGTGGGTGAGGATCATCCAGGAAGATCTATAAACCTTGAAAGCCCTGTGGTTAGCCAGAGTGAAATGGTGATATGTTTTTAGTTTATGGAGCAGCTGACCAGCATGTGCTATGTTTGGCAGTATACAACTACAATAAAAGCAATGTGCTTGCATTTTGCGGTTCTGACTGAGAAATTGCCGTATCAGTTAATGAATGATTCAAATGAACTTGGTTCGGAGTTAATATCTAACATGGTATCCTTAGTTAATAATTGTTTTTCCCAATGAAGGCTGGCATTCTAATCTTAGTTTGACTGTGCAATGTGAGGTTGAACATTAAGTTTACAGACAAGTTTTCCCATTGTGCAACACAAGTTCACAAAGAAAAGGTACATGTCACTCTCATTCAAAGAGCAAAAGACATCCTGTTACCCCTGGAAACTGCAAATGAAAAATACTGTTGGGCTGTAGTTAATCCTCTCACTACTAGCCTCTATTTTGACACTATCTATCAGCACCCTGGCTGGAAGTTAACACAGCCCATTGCAGCAGGAAACATGGATTTCACCATTGGATGGCCAAACTTCAGTCTACTAACAAAAGGAAATCCTCCTGTGATTAAGTTAGAAGCAGGGAGGGAACTTGTCCACATGCAATGGGGTGCCAATCAGGCTCAATAAAGAGCCCACTGACACAAATTATCCTTGAGTCCACTAGAATTTAGTGTTGGCTCAGGGATTAATTAGTAGGCACATGGTTTTTCCATGTTTCCTGAACACGGGGTGATCTATTGAGGTCATCTCTTGTGTCAAGCATTCAGTGCCTGTTTGAGAGACTAAAAATTTAGAATACAGGAGACTACTGAATGCCACACCCCTGCCCTTGCCTCCAAGCCTCCATGACACCCCCTTCCTTTATGACTTCCTCCTCCCATGATCCCACCCTCACTCATCCAAGTCCAGGGATTCAGCGATGATCCCTTATGAAGTAACTCCTGCACCTGGTGGCACTTGTTGGCAATGTTAGCCAGCAGCTCTCAGGGAGTGGAATTTGAGAGGTATTTAATCTGGGCCTCCTCCATGGAAACAATTCAGATTTCACAGTGGTTCTCCAAATCGATGGGTGAGAATTCCATTGTCAATATTACTGAAATAGTCCATGTTCAAATGCACTAACATCCGGACAATATCCAGACTTGGGCTGACAGGTGGCAAGTAACATTTACACCACACAAATACCAGGCAATGACCATCACCAATAAGTGACCAATAAGCGACCAATTACTGGCACTTTGCATTCAATGGTGTAACCATCACTGAATCCCCTACTATCAACATCCTGGGGTTTAGCATTGTTCAGAAACTCAATTGGACTTGATCCATAAACACAGTGGCTACAAGACTAGGCCAGAGATGAGGAATATTGTGGTACTAAACAATCTAAGAGGGAATTTAGAAGAAATCCTGCATCCAGAATGTACTAATCTCCAGCCTCATTTCATCATTGTCACAAGGACTGATTGAAGTGAATGTAATAGCTGTATTTAAAGGAAAATGTGAAAACATATAATGAAGAAGTGAGAGAGATGCCTTGGCTTGTAAACGTGAGTTCCTGTGTTCGAATCTTACTGGCACCATTCTACCAAAAAGGTGCTGTTAAATGTTTCGGGTTCGTGTGGCACAGTGTATCCCTACCTCTGAGGTAGGAGGCCTGGATTAAAGTCCCAACTGCTCCAGAGTTGTGTAATAACAAGTCTACATAGGTTGATTAGAAAGTATCTATTAGGAAGGGCTGTTATGTAGCAATGGTATTGTCCCTACCTCTGCTTTAGAAGATCTAGGTTCAAGCCTCCCTGTGCTGTAAATGCTTCATATTGTGTATGAATAGGTTGATTCAAAATACTTCTCTGGACCAAGAGGTCCAGGTTCAAGCCCCACCAGCTGCAAAGTTGTATCATATCATCTCAGATTATAAAATATCTATAAGGAATAAGTGAATAGAAAATAATGATAATAAATTGAGATGAGGTATATAAACACTGGCATGATCTGGTTGATCTGAACGACCTGTTTCTGTGCCAGATACCCTATGTTATCTTGTGTTCTTCCTTTGCCTTATCTTCAAATATATAATCCTTCACTTACTTCATCCTTTCAGGCCTTTACTGTTGTTGGCTATAAAAGATCCTAATGGCCATGGTACCAAACAGAAAAGTTTGGAACTACTTTTCTTAGGCCCAGAGGAACAGAGTTACATCACCTTGCTGAAGGTAATTTGAAATTAGAACGTCACAGTCTGGTGATCTATATTGAGGGCCCTTGTTAATGAGAGAAAGTTTGCTAAAAAAAAATGAAAAACAGTTGGGAAAAGTTCCTTCAGATATTTAAAAAAGAAGAGTTAACGAAGTAAGTGTTTGTTCTATAGAAAATGAGGCTGGGGAATTAGTGATGGAAGGTAAATTAAACAGATATTTTGTGTTGGCCTTCAGTAAGAGAGAATACAAGTAGCATCCCAGGAATAGCTGTAAATCAGGAATTGAAAGGGAAGTCCCTGCCTGAAGAAATCACAATTATTGGGTAGTAGCACTGAGTAAATTGTTGGAACTGTGAGTTGACAATTCCTCAGATCCAGATGGATTTCATTCTATGGTCTTATAAAAAGTAGCTAGTGAGGTAATTGATGCATTGATTTTAATTTTGCAAAACACATTAGTTGGGGGAAGGTTCCTTTAGATTGGAAAATAGTTAATGTAACTCCTTCATTCAAAAAGGGAGACAGAAAGCAGGAAGCTACAGGTCAGTTAGGTCAACATTTGTCATAGGCAAAATATTTGAAGCTATTAGTAATGCTTTTATAACAGGTCATTTGGATCAGCTCAAGACATTCAGGCAGAGCAAACATGGTTTTATCAATGGGAAATCGTGTTTAACATTTACAGGATCTCGTTGAAGAAGTAACTTGTGTTGTAGATAAAGGGCATCAGTGGATATATTGTATTTATATTTCCAGCAACCATTTGGCAAAGCGCCCCAACAAAGGTTATTGTAGAAAATAAAAGCTCATAGTATTGGGGCTAACATATTGGCATGGATAGAAGATTGGCTGGCTAACAGGAAACAGAGAGTAGGAATAAATGGATCTTTTTCAGGCGGGCAAGCAGTCACAAGTGGTGCACCACGGGGGTTAGTGCTGGGGCCTCAACTCTGTACAATTTATATAAATAATTTGGATGAAGAGACTGAAGGTATGGTATTTAAATTTGCTGATGACAAATATAGGTGCAAAAGTGAGTTATGAAGAGGACATAAGGAACTGGCCTACAAAGGCATATAGATAGGTAAGTGAGTAAGCAAAAATCTAGCAAATGAGGTGTAATGTGGAAAAATGTGAAATTATTTATTTTGGCAAAAAGAATGGAAAAAAGCATATTATCTAAATAGTGAGAGGTTGCAGAGCTCTGGACTGCAGAGTGATCTGGACGGCCTAGTGCAAAAATTGCAGAAGGTTAGTGTGCAGGTAAAGGAAGTAATCTGGAAAATATTATAATGTTATGTTTTATTGTGAGGAGAATTGAATACAACAGTAAGGAGTGTATGCTTCAATAACGCAGAGCATTGGAGAGACAATATCTGGAGAACTGTACATAGTACTGGTCACCGTGCTTACTGAAGGATGTTAATGCATTGGAAGCAGCTCAGAGAAGGTTTACTAGACTGACCATTATCTATTCCTTTGCCTGCTAACTGCTGTTCTCTCTCTCTCTGGGCACCATCTCCACCTATCGCTTACTCCTTCTCCTCCCCCCATCCATCTTCAGTATATATACCAACCGTTATCTGGCCCCAGTTAGTTCTGAAGAAGGGTCATTGGAGCCAAAACACTAATTCTGCTTTCTCTCCAAAGACACTGATGGAGCTGCTGAGTTTCTCCAGCAATTTCTGTTTTTGCTCCAGATTTTCAACATCCACAATTCCTTGGTATTTTGTTACGAGACTAATATTTAGAATGAGCGGATTGATTTATGAGGAAGGGCTGTACAGGCTAAGCCTGTATCCTCTGGAGTTTAGAAGAGTCAGAGGTAGTTTAATTGAAACATATAAGATCCTGACAGGACTTGACCAGGTGGATGTGGGGAAGATGTCAACACTGTGGGAAAATTTAGAACTAGGGGACATAGTTTAAAAATAAGAGGGTGCCCATGTAAGACAAAAATGGGGAAAATGATTCTCTCTGATGATTAAAGTCTTTGGATTTCCCTTCTTCAAAGGACAGTGGATGCGGAATCTTCAAGGCAAAGATAGATAGATTCTTGATTATTAAGAGGATGTAAGTTTATCAGGGGTAGGAAGAAGTAGGAACATAGGAATAGAAGAAGGCCATTCAGCTCCTTGAGCCTGTTCTGCCATTCAATGAGATAATGACTGATCTGTGACCTAACTCCATTTACCTGCCTTTGGCTCATATCCCTGAAACACCTTTGCTTAATAGAAAATGTATTTACCTCAGGTTTAAAATTTACAACAACCCAGCATCCACTGCCATTTGTGGAAGAGAGTTTCAAGCATCTACCAGCCTTTGTGTGTAGAAGTGCTTCCTAATATCTCTCCTGAATGGTCTGGCCCTAATTCTAGAATCCCCAACCAGTAGAAATAGTTTATCTTTATTTATTCTGTGTTTCCCTGTTAATATCTTGAAGACTTTGATCAGATCTCTCCTTAACCTTCTAAATTCTACAGAAAACAGGCCAAATTTGTATAATCTCTTCCTCATAGCTTAACCCTGAAGTCCAGATAGCATTTTTGTAGACCTACATTGTACTTCCTCCAATATACCCTTCCTAAGGTGTGGTGCCCAGGTTTGCTCACATTACTCCCAGCAGGATCTAACCAGGGTTTTGTATAACTGCAGCATAATGTCTGCATCCTTACACTCCGGTTGTCTCAATATAAAGACTATTCCATTAGCTTTCTTGTAGAGTTGAAGTTAAAATCAGATCAGCCTTGATCTCATTAAAGGTGCAGTAGATTCAAAGGATCGAGTTGTCTACTCTTGTTTCTTGTTTGAACAAGTGAGGTGCTTCAAATTCATGGTCACCTCTTTGTCTTGTGTACAGATAATTGGTCAGTGTGCTTTGT